TTCAATTAATAGGTTTTCATTTTCGCAGATGGGCAAAGACTCACATTAATTGCTCTCTGCGTCCAAGTTGCCTTCAGTATATTTAAAATGCTTCAATTTTTGATATTTCGATATTCAAAAAAGTACCGACAAGTTTGTAACTTGAAAAGCACACGCAAATTATTTAAAGAAAATATATTTTTTCAAGTTGGTATAGCACTGTCCTTAATAACTGTACTCAATATGTTCTGTTTTCAGCAGTTAGATAAATTAGTGGACACCAATAGTGCGTCACGTTTTTCACAATGAACCAAATTATTAAATAAACAATTTGTTTTAAATTTTTTATTCCGAACCAAATTTCATGGGTTAGAAAACGCTTATAGTAAATTAGTCCAATGAAGGCCGAGATATCGTTGACAATCTTAGTTCTGGCTTCGACTTCTTCAACAGAAGAAGATGCCGAAATGGTGAAGGAAAATGTGCCGATAATCGTCATTCTAACTGAAGAGATGACACGTAACTTAAAATCTTTAAGGAGTCCGTTGTTCAATTTTGATCAACTCGACTAAATTTTATACAAAAACAGTACCAAAACCAGACCCCTTTAGACATTCTAAATCGCATCAATTCTAATCCTACGTATGTGGCACGCATGATAATTGATGATTAGACATATAGGTGTGTTAATGTGAAGTGATTTGATTCATTACGAATTAGATACAGAACGACATAATGTTAATTAAGAATAGGTACTATAAGACCGTATTAAAACGTTTGAGTGGAAAAATTGGTTAGAAACGATCAGAACTCTGGGACAATTCGTGGATTTTGCAAGTACATTTATTAAGAGGTACACGGAGAAAATGAAAAAGGAAAATTTACCTAAATATTAAAGGGATATTTGCAATTTATCCAACCAGCACATTGCTTCGTAAGCGAAAATAATAAAAATTACAATTTGGACCCCAATTTGTATAAATAAGATCCAAGCATAAACAAATTTATTAGGTATAATTAAGAAACTTGAAATAATTTAAAAACAAAACATGTCAAAATTGTGATTATTACAAGTTACCTATTATATTCTACTATTTCTAGTGCAAATTCAGACATTTACATTCGAAAACAGTAATTTTTGCATTTCCGTAAAAATTTAGTTTTCTCCGTGTACAGACAAGGTATAGTGAACGTAATCCATGGAAATTTGCGACTTATTGTGGAATGCAAAAGTGTTTAACACCTTTTCTAATCACTACATAGTATAAAACAAAGTCGCTTTCCCACTGTCTGTCCCTATGTATGCTTAAATCTTTAAAACTACGCAACAGATTTTGATGCAGTTTTTTTAAAAGATAGAGTGATTCAAGAGGAAGGTTTATATATATAATACATGCATCATATGCTAGAGAAACACTGATAATTTTAGAGGTTTCTAATGTGATGTCGTAAATAAACACATCTTTTTGCGCTTACATTGCAAACGCTGGCTGAACCCTACAACATAGATTAAAATAATGTACTACAGTATTATACAAAAAAAGTCCGCGATGGTATCTGTCTATAGTTTAGGGATAACCCACAATAACCATTTTTTATCCTTTACTTTTTACAAGAAATAATGGCTTATTTACGAAGAGATTTTAAGAAATACACCATTAATCCTTATCTAATTAAGTACCTTAAAGACATGGTGCATTTAAAATAGATCAATATGGCCCTTTGCAGCATGTAATTTAAATGAATATTTTCGAAGATATTAGAGATTTAAATGCAGGGACATAGCGGTTGTGGCGGTACCTATAGCACTTTATGATTTGCAGCGATCGCACTCGTTTATTGGAGCTCTCTAGCGAGGAAAATAACAATTATTACCCGTGTGAAGCCGTGGTGGGTCGCTAGTTAAGTATAAATTAAAATTTATTTAGTACAACGTCATTTTTTATTGTGCATACATACAATTATACAGGTATATACATATACGCTTTGCTTTAAACATACGATTGGAAATCTTTGGACAGAGTTTAACAACAAATATCTTTTACGTTTCAAACAAAACAATTATTATACAACATAAGTATACTTTAGATAGAAAACGCAGTTAATCCGCTAATTATATACAGATACTTATCTATTATAACAACACACCCTACTGATTTCCTTGCAGCCAAAATTTTCTATGGTAGGATTGTCTATTATGTTTTCATTCCTTTGTTCCGAAAAAACCTACTAATACGGTCCTGGGTAGTAGTTATATTAGGTACGACTAAATTTTAGGAGCAAGAAAATTCACTTGTGTTGAACACACGTTTAATCTTTTTCCTTTTTTCTTAGTATTTCTTTTAATCCAGAACACGTATATTTCTTACATATTTTTTATTACACTAACCTACAGTTTTGATTCGTCAAAAAAATATAAAAAGATTGAGCTATAGATATTGACATTTGATTTTTTTTTGTAGATACAAAATGAGCACAACATTTGAGACAATGTATTATTAATTATTAACACTAACAATAATAACCCTTTAACTAACTTTTTTTGCGACGGAAAACATTTTGTAAAAGTCACACATTATAAATATGGAGTTGTATTTAAACGTGCTGAGTGGTATGAAATGAGGTAAGTCAGGTACAGGGAGTATCTACACAATAATATGTATTTAAAGACACCGTGCTCTTGGCGCCGCGCTCTAAATGCCGCCATCGCTTAAGTCCGCTTATAGCGCCGCAAGAATAGCACATACAAAATTGCAGCGTGTTCCTAGCGTCTCAACGATGTATACTTCATTTACTTTCTGTAGCGATGTGTCCATTCCAATGTCTTGGATGCGCGCTGGCAAAATCGTGGGTAGAGTGANAGTATATTACGTATGTTCAGGGGGTATCTTTTGAAGATTTCCCCTTTTCGATAATAATCTAAACAAAACAAAAATATATTTAGTATGAGCATTGCACCCGTGCGAAGCTGGGGCGGGTCACTAGTATCTAATAAGAATATCGGCTTATTAAGTATATGTTAATATGTATTTATAATTAATAAACCGCATCCGAATCAATTGACTAAAATTAATACATTTCGGTTAAAACAGGCGGAAAAAATCATCCTCACTTTCGGATAACTTCTCAAATATCAGGCCCGGCAAAAAATGTGGGTACGGTGGGTAGTTGTACCCATACGAAAAATTTCGGGTGGATATTTTACCCACACGGAATTTTACATCATTTTATAATTACGCTCATAATACATGAGTATTATTGAATTTATATTTTTGGATTTACATCGAGAAACTTGAATGCTTTTTGTTTCCCCAAATTTGCAACCTACCCTGAAAATAACCATTTAAAAAGATAATTTCAATATGAGACCTATTGAAAAAAGCATCGCATTGATGTTTTATGGCAGTATCCAAACGGCAATTTAGGTAGGTGCAGCCGGGCACCATCTTTAGCATTAAACATGGGCCATATTGGACTTTCGTTCGAATTTGTAAGAAATCCCGTATCGGTATAATGCGAAATTAGCAAAAGCTGTTCGAACCCTTAAAAAAAGACATACGGTCTTATTACCCTTATCGCTACTTGATAGAATTATACATATAAAGCGATTGAAGCGGTTACTGACTTGTTGCTGCCCTTCATCTAAAATCTAAACGAATCTCAAATTCCACATCAATGAAAAGTTTAGAAACATTTCAATCTGAGGGGGGGATACCGTTAATACACATGAATTCACGACCCCAAAGGTTTTTTCAAAAAATCGTTCTTTAAAATGTTTGACGAACTTATATATTTCATCCCTAAGTAATAGATTCGAAGATGATTCAGCCCATAATTCTTTGAAAAGGATTGTTTTTAAAATTATTAAAATATTAGGTTCTAATTTTATTTTATTTAATGGACCTACATTTAATTTTATGTATGTACCTGATTACGATTTCTTTCCGAGCAAGAGATTATTACTTAATACGGGCCATATCTGCCATTTTAGATATAGACCGTATCGTACCGTATAGATATGGCCGTACTTCACAATACGGAGTGCAAATTTAGGCCATATTTCACCCATACTCTAAATGCTAAATCGGGGTATTTCAAATGTTAGACAAGGGCCTTAATAGGGTACCTGCTTGTCCAGCTGAATCGACAACCTAAAAAATCTCCCAAAAACAAATTAATAAGAACTGGCGAAGAATCTGGTCCCTTCATACAGAATTAGCTTTCAAGTAATATTAATGCATTGAATCTACTAAAAATAAGTAAAAAAAGGCGTATGTGTCAACTTAAAAACAAGTTAAAACATCTACATAAACAGTGAATTCCAAAATCAAGTAAATTAAATTAAATTTGTGTTGATTCGATTACAACCTAATCCTAATCTTAGTCTTATTATATCAATCCGGACAACATCCAATAGTGTTCACGTCGCGTCGTCACGATTTGTTATGCAACTCCGTATGTCCACTATGCCACAATTTAAATACTTTCTAAACAAATGATTGTATAATTAGTCTTAAAACATTTTTGGCTAACAGAGAGAATGCCCCGTTTTGTTTATAATTTGAATTTCGAATTAGCGAAGATACTAAATTTGCATGCATGTCGTAAGCCATCTGACACTATTACATCCTAATAAATATTTACTCGCTATGTATGTGTTTAAGCCTGTGAAATTCGGTATTAACTTGCATAACCAATCTGAATTTGTTGGAAAAGATATAAACACTGTCACACCGTAACGTAGATTTTCTTTTGATATATCATACGTTTTTAAGGTGCTTTCTCTCTATTTTTGGTTGTTTTTATGAGGTACTTTACATTTTAAATACAGAATATGGTAATTTTTGATTTACTTATAAAGATAATAAACCAATGAATGAGTATAAATCTCCTTTTTATGTATATCTAGTAGATAGTCAAAAAAGATAAAAAGAAAAAGATGAAAACTGAATGTAATAATTTAAAAACGCTTAAAATGTGTTCTATTTAGAATAATAAGTAATGCAGATCTTTCGTTCCAGTTTATATGAGAAATTTCCGCCAGCGCGAGCGGACTACCTTACCAACAGTCACGTCAGCATCAAAGCGGGCCTAACGCTCTCCATCTACTCCGCATAGGGAAGAGTTTGTGGCGGATCGGCCAATCTACTGCATCTACATTATCTTTCTACGTGTAAGTTTTAGCTGTTCGCTTGAGATACTCATTAAAGCCATGCTACACGGCGCGAGGAGCGGCTATCGCGCTGCGTGTGTGCCTATGCTTAATTCGTTACTAGGAGCGAAGATTATCAATCTACGTTCCGTGTAAAGTCGTTGTTACACGGTACTTGGATTGCCAATCCACGCCCGCGTATCGGGTTCTACACGGCCTGTAGCGGGCAGGCGCGTTCTAGCGTGTTCTGGCTTTTTGTCACAGAGAAGGCGGGAGTAGAGTTTGCCAATTTACGCTCCAAGTAACGGGGTTGACGCGGTCTGGAAAGTGAAGGAACTTCCTAACGCGTTCTTTCCCAAGCATCGTCGGTAAATGTCATAAATATATATACATTACCGGAAATGTATGAAATCTAGGAATTGTATACAATTCCGAGGCTATTTAGGAAATGTACTTATAAAATTTTAGTGTATTTTGGTGTTAAAACTAATGAAATACCAAGAAAACATTAACATTAACAAATATCAATTTATAACAATAACAACGAAAACACAAGTAACAAAAAGGCACTAGGAGTGAAACATACAAACGAGAACAAAGTGACAAAAAGAACAAGATAACAAAACAGTAACAATAACAAAGACAACATGTAAAGATAAGTTTTTTTTTATGTTTTCGTGGAAGAGGGGAAATCTTCAGAAGACACCCAGCCGTCCGTACGACTGGGTAGTGTCGGATTCCCGAGGAAGAAGTTCTCGGACCTACCGACTAAAACCCCTCTACCTCAGGCCGTTCTAGGACCAATTAAGGTCGTATGCGTTTGTGTATTATGTGATTGTGGTTTTTATATTATGTGAAGTAAAGATAAGAATTTTTGAGAGTATTTATGGGACAGGGTTGTTAGTAGATTTGATAGAAGGTTCTAGAAGGAAAAGTAGTGAGAAAGAGGGTGAAGACACTAGTTTGTAGGAATATGTAGAATTAAGCAGTATAGAGTTCAAGAGAAAGCAATTAAGGGTAAAACCAGATATTAGTATGGGAGCGTATGCAGGTATGGTTGAAGTTGGAATTCTGGGTAAAAGTGATTGAGAGAACAATAGAGTTTAGATTGAAAGGAAACCAAAGTATTTACAAGATAAGAAATTGAAATGAAATGAATTTGAAGTAAAATAAGGAAAAAGAATGCTTAAGAAATATCTACAAAAAATATATACAATTGTCCGCCACAAAATATTGTTTCAAAAATTTTTGAAATGGAACTTCATTACGCACGGTAGAGTAATTTCGTTTCATGTAACGAAAACATGCAACGGATGTGCCCCCTCTACTCGACCATGTACTCGAGTTCGTAGTGGGGATCGCTTGAGCCATGAGCGCGCTTCAATGCAACGTTTGTTACACGCAACTCCGGCATGTGTAGTGTAAAATTTAAATTCATAGTGTACAAATAATACCGTTAAACCAATTGCTTAACCCCTATCCCGGTATGTTTGTGTGTTTGAAGAAGTTTCACTTCAGTAGCGTGTTGTATAATTACACGTTGTATTTTTTTTTTTATTTAAATGCTGCAATCTATATGTTGTTTTAATCGTGCATTTAATAAACGCCCTCTCTGACCTATATAGGGTGTCCCAGTTATAATAATTAATATTTATACCACAGATTCNTTCAGTTGATATTACAAATTTAATTGTAATAATTAAGAAACTTGAAATAATTTTTAAAGAAACATGACAAAATTGAGATTATTACAAGTTACCTAATAAATTCTACTATTTCTGCAGAAAATTCAGTCATTTACATTCGAAAATTGTAATTTTTGCATTGTCATAAAAATTTAGTTTTCTCCGTGTAGATTTCATAGATTTCCGGTAACATAGTATAGATATATTAAAAAGATTATTAGTACATTATATATTATTTATACATTCTACATGCATGGGAACGGCGGAAAAGGTTAGAAGCCTTCGAAATGTGGTGTTATAGGCGAATGATAAGGATAACGTGGGTAAAAAAGGTTAGAAATGAAGAGGTATTAGAAAGAATGGGAGAACAGAGGACTCTATGGAAGTCAATAAAAAATAGGCGAGATAGGTTAGTAGGAGACCTTCTCAGGCATGAAGGCCTAGTCAGAGGCATATTAGAGGCAGAAACAGGAGTTAGGAGGGGTAGAGGTAGACCTAGGTTAGATGAATGTTCACAAATAGTTAAGGATGTGAGTTGTTCTAGTTTTAGAGAAATGCGAAGTTTAGCTCATGATAGGAAAGAGTGGAGGTACGTGTCCGACCAGTCTTAGGACTGACGACCCTATGATGATGATATGCATAACATAATTTTAAGAGAATAAATTATTTGACGTATAAATATTTTCCGACCAAATTTGATAACCACAAGCGCGTTTTTTTCATATTTACCGACGATGCTCGGGACAGAAGGCGCCAGAACGTTCCTTCTCGCTTGTGTAACACATTTGATGGCACATATGCTGAGGAATATTCCAGTGTATATTTTGCCTAATTCTAATCGTAAATTCAGCTTTTCTCGGTTTTCTGCAATTCTTTTTGAAGTCACAAGTCGCTACTGATAATCTTACGTCTAAATCAGGGGTACCAAAACTTTTTAGCCTAAAGCCATAAAGGCTCTTTCATTGTACTAGCTTGTCATAGCTCACAATATGTCGCATTTTTTCCCGATGAAATCAACGATTTCAGCCTGACATGATGACACGATCTGGAACCACTGATTACGGTAACTATTTCGTTTGCACTTTTGCACTTAATACTTGATACAATTTGTGTACTATGCACATGTACGTGAAGTATACTGTATTATACATGTTATGTATTGTACTCATCCAGACGTAATAAAAATTTCATGATTCACGGTTTCATTATTCGCGAGTGAAAAAATTGCAACCCTGTTCCTGTATTCGCGACTAAAAATTTCATTATTCGCGGATGCAATCGGCAAAGAGAAAAGAATTCGGTGTCATTTATTAAGGGGATTTAACGCAACAGATTGCTAATGCCTACTGTGAATTTTTCCGAAAATATGGACTTCTATTCTAAACATTGTGATTTAACGATGCTAGGTAAATATCTGATTTTTTGTATGGCAACAGACAAAGGTTAACACTAACTCGGCACGTTTTTAGTTTTCAATAATATGGTCATTAAAAGCTTTTAGAAGTTGGTGCTTCTTGTAGGACACGTATTTTCGATAGAAATTAAAAAAATTAAAAATGGCCTTCGACAGGCTTTAGAAAAAAGCTTTATCTATCGTACTACAAACTTTCAAACCTCTGTTCCAAACATTAAACTCATGATATCTAGAACCGATAAGCATATTTTTACTCTAGGGCGCGTGTACTACTGAATCCCTTAATGTATCGGCAAGTTTTGAATACTATTGACTCGTGCTGAGGTGATTTTTATAAAAGATGTAATTGAGTGGACTAATTTCAAAACAAGAAAAAAAAACAAGTTACTAGAATCTAGTAGATAGACTTATATATTACTTTGTTTCGATCCGCTATTCGCCAAAGACAGCAGTCAGTCAAGTAGTTTCCTTCCAATAACAATAATGTTTTCATTAGTCATTACCTCATTACCATTCATCAGTCATTTCAACTGTCGACTATCAATAATTTGAATAGTTGCCAACTATCGAATAGTTCAATAGTTCCCATCACTATCAGTAATTATGTTTCTTAATTGGTTGTTAAATAACAACATCTGATTATTATTAAATATGGGACATAAATTGGTGGTCAGAATTATATTTTTCAACAAAATAAAAACCAAAACTGGTTAAAAACTATTTTTCAGAAAGTAACAGTGAAGTTTCAATGTTACCAGCGCGCTCCCCTAATTATTAAAAATTGTTGGGGTAAAGTAGCGCGTGCTCTGTACTTAAATGCTAAACAATATAACAATGTAGAACAATTAAGAAATGCTATCCAAGATGAGTGGAACAAGTTAGATCACAATTATATTAAAAACCTATATGAAACGCTGCCCAAGAGACTGATTAGAGTTGTAAAAAATAGAGGACATACCCATTACTGAAATAAAAATTAAAAATATTAGCTACTTGTTTTTTTTACCATACTCAAGTTCAAGTCAAAGGTCAATTCTTTCCTGTCTGTACGTGTATATATAAATATGTATGGTTTATATTTTCATGAAAACAATAAACCAGAAAATCTGTTACCTATATTGACTGTCGCAAATATTTTTTACATTTTATGCTATATGTATATGTTTGCTGTCGGGTTACAAAACAAATACTTAATACCAGTTTTACGTTTTTTTTTTAGGAAAAACGATATTTTTCTTAGCATGAAAACGGCCTGCAAATCATAATAATTATTTGAATGTGTGGAAATGAATTGAGGTCATCATATCTAATGATTAGTCCAGCCGATTCATAAATCAAATTCAAGAAATCATTTCAGAAATACAGTCGGGTATAAGGTTTTGGGATTATTAGTGTAAAGTAATAGGTTTATAATTTGATTAGTTGCTGAAAAATTCAGCCTTGCGCATTGACGATTAATTAGCATCAAAGCTGGTCCAATTCACATTTTATTATAGCCCTAGTCCATCCCTGTAGGCTAGTAAAATGTGCCATTTTACGATTAGACTTAATTAGATGTTTTTCTGGAAATTTCACCGATAAAACTGCAAAAAGAATTTCATTGAATACTATCATCACCAAAAGGTCTTCAGCCCAAAGACTGGTTGGGCACGTATCTCTATTTCTTCATATATTGAGCCAATATTTGCATTTCTTGTAATGCTAGGGTAAACTAATATCTGAATTTGCGAAAGGTAATCTAATATGAAATATTAATATGAAAATTCATTTGTCGAATTTTTTACCCACGCAAAATACCTCAGGTTAATGAGGGAAAATTGTTACTGTTCTAACGCCCTCGCCGGGAATCCAACCCGGGACCTTTGGCTTTACGTACCAATGCTATGACCACTACGCTACGAGAGGTGACAACAGCAACAACGACAAACCGTACTTATTAGGTTAGAGATCTGTCGAACTAATGTCATTCTATTCCCGGTGAGGGTGTGACAACATCAACAATTTTCCCTCATTAACCTGAGGCAGTTTGTGTAGGTAAAAAATTCGGCAAATGAATTTTCATATTAAAAATTAACCACTTCAAAAAAATCAAAGTATTTCAATCTAATGTAAGTCTACCCCTGCTCCTCTTAACTCTTGTTCCTGCTTCTAGTGTATCTTTAATTTAATTAAATCAGATGCACTTAATCGGTCACATGACTTTGGCAGCTCTAGTGCAGGGTCACACCCTCGCTAAAAACGACCCTGATAATATCAGAACAGGAAGCACAAATAAATAAACTAAATATCTTGAAAACCCTACAGTGGGCCAACTGAAATGAGACGAGACTCGTAATAGGAATAAAACGTAAGCAATGTTTTTTTGGGGCACACTTCCACCTCGCAATTTATTGTCTGCCCTTAGCAAGGGTTCTTTGCGCCTATCAGGAACTGCAACCAATGAAATTTTCATCCCTTT